CTCTCCGCAGCCTGCTTCCCTCACCTTCTCCTCCAACGCCACAGAACACTGTCCGGGCTCAATTCCACGCGACCAGTTCCAGGACCAGATCCCTTACAAATGCGCTTTATCAATGCTACAGACCCTGAGATCCACGTGCGCCATCTTACTATGCGTATGGTCGCATCCACGTCTCGTACGCTGATTCGATTTGATATATAGTACCTCGGTCGCTGGCTCACTGCCCCTGACGCCACGTCCGTACGCACGAGCTGGCGAGGCGCACACTTCCGCCTCAACGTCACTAATACCTCAACCCTGCTGCTGGACGCGTGGAGCGGCGGTACGCCTTGCCCAATCGTGGCACGGATCGAGGACGAGGAACCTAGGTTTGTTGTGTTCAATGTCACCGGCGGTCTACATCTACATACCGTTAGTACGTCGCTTGATAGGGAACGATGGACGGTCGTGACGGTTGTGCTGGATGTGCTGACTGGGCCTGGCGTCGAGTTGGGTGTTAGGGGCGTCTGGTTGGACGGAGGGGGAAGGTTGGGAGATGCGTGTCACGATGCACATACGGGAAAGAGGAGGAAGATTGTTGAGGTTGTGACGGATGACCTGAGCTTGCCGTTTCCACCGCCCACAAACGAGGAGCTGTCAGCGCAGGACCGGGTTCTGGCTAATGCGGCAAGCTGGCATGGGCAGCTGGCTGCATTGTACGGCGCTGATCTCGTCTTGACTGTGCTGGAACCAGAACGATCCTGCCTTGCGTCCGGCTGTGATTGGGCCGGTTCTGAAGGCCAAGCAGCAACAGGTCTAGCAGACGCGTTCTTCCGAACGTAAGTGGTGCGCTATAACAGGTACTTCAAAGCGCAGAAGCTGAGTCAAGAACGCAGGGAACCGGCACCCAGCAACACAACACCCAACACAACATACGGATATACGTTCGACCCCCGACCCCCAGACCTGATCGTACGCTCTCCCCACCCACCCCGTCCCACTCCACTCGCTTCCACTTCCACTGCCACGTCCGCACGATCCGAACTTGTGCAGCTAACGCAACCGTACTCAGATCCTGCACCTTGCAACACAACAGACCCAGCAAGCCTACACGACCCTAACCCACCAAATCCGCAATGCCTATCCCTCCCACCCTGTCTACTTCCTCGCCGACGGCGACCAGCACGGCGCCTACAGCGACGATACCTCCGCCCTCACCACCGCGCCCGCGCATATTCCGATTTTCGTGCTCGGGTCGTTCGGGGCTGGGTCTGGGGATGGAGAGGAGGAGAGGGTAAGGGAGGAGGTGAGGAGGATGAGGGAGGAGGGAGACGGGAGCGTGGGGTGGGTTGATTGTAGTGGGTGGGTGGATGGGGGGAATTTCGTTGCTTTGCAAGGGATTGATGGACGGGGAATCACCTATCCCGGCCACGCCAAGATCGCCGCCGCCCTGAGTCTGCATCTCTGCACCTATCTGGCCGAGCAACCCCTTGAATGTCCGTTTCTGCCCCCAGCGCCGTATCAGGGCCCGGTGTACGATGATGAGATGGAGAGGTTGGGCGTGTTGGTGGAGGCGGAGATGGTGAGGGGGTTGAGGGACGCGTTTGGGGTTTGAGGTTTGGGGTACAGGATGTGCGGTGGGGATGAAGTTGAACTTGAAGGAGCTGGACAGGATCGCTGGAAGCCTGGAAGTGGTGAGTGTGAGAACATGAGGGAGCCGCTAGCTTAGCCTTGCTTTGTTGAGTACCTGTAAGGTATGGTGTAGCAATTCTCATAACAAATGAGTTGGTCGAAGATCATGATACAGACTGGGCAAGGGGGACAACTCTATGAGCATATAGCTCCAAGGATATTTGGATTGCTGTACTTGTACGAAGCGGTTCATACTTGAGTTTACATGTATACAGTAGAAAGCTTCAGCATTGGAGAGTCGTCCGCAAGGGGACTACTTATCTGTAAGTAACCTAAAGTCGCCCGCATTTCTTTACTAGTATAAAATGGTGGACAAAGACATGAGTGCAGTGTATTGAATGCATTGGATTAATAAGACAACTATTAGCAATCTCCTGCGTAAATGAAACTCTCTGGCTCAGTGGAAGCAAATACCTTGACAATGATTGGTCGGAATTCGTCCTCTCCTCCGCGCCGAGCTGCTCGGAGCCGTATACAACGTCATCCGGAGATTATTTTCGCTCCATCTAAGATAATCAGTTCAGTGACACACTACCGACGCTGCAACTTCTCACCCCCCCAAGAAGCAAATCATGGCATAGGACGCCATTGTACTATCCTCTACCAATGTCCCGCCCGTCACGATAGCGACCACATCTCACCCATTTTACCCGCTTGAAACAGCGGTACATCCTCTCCACCCCGCCATCCAACCCCAGGCTACCTAGATACCTATCCTATCTCAGCCCTCACGACCTCCTCTCGCACCACGCGAGCACAACCACCCGCCATGGCACCCTCCTCGCCAACGAAGAAATCCTCCACCAAACCGCTCCTAACAACCCGCCAATCCTCCACCCTCCACTACCAAACCTTCCCAACCGCACCTCCCAAGTCGCGCGGGAAACGCCAACCCTCGTCCTCGTCCAACGACGACCGCCCCTCCAGCCAGCGCTCCGGCAGCCGCTCCTCCTCGCACCATGAATCGCCCCTCCCCAAATCCCAGCTCGCGATCCTCGCCGTCATCGCGCTGGCCGAGCAGACGGCGCTCAACTCCATCTCTCCCTACCTGCCAGACATGGCGTCGACGTTCCCGGAGGTGAAGATGAACCAGGTGGGGTTATACGTCGGGCTGATCGCGTCTTCGTTCGCGCTGGCGCAGTTCGCGACGAATTTCTTCTGGGGCTGGCTGAGCGACCGGATAGGAAGGAAGCCCGTGGTGCTGACGGGCACGCTGCTGACGGCGGCGTGTTTCGTCGCCTTTGGCTTCTGTCGCACCCTGTGGCAGGCGGTGCTGGTGCAGGTGCTTATGGGCCTCGTCAATGGGAATCAGGGCGTCATCAGCACGTGTCTGGGCGAGATCACAGATCGGAGTAACCAGAGTCGCGCGTTCACCTATCTGCCCGTGGTATATGGGATCGGAGGTATCACGGGGCCGGTGGTGGGCGGGGTGCTGGTGTTCAAGACGGTGCCGTGGAGCGGGAAGGAGAATCCATACCCGTACCTCGCACCGAATCTGCTGAGCGCGGCCATCTTGCTCGTCGATATGGTGCTGACGATGATTTTCCTCGAGGAGTCGCTCGACCAGGCGAAATCCCTGCCGCCGCTGGGCAAGCGCATCGGAAACCTCTTCACCTGGCTCTGGCAGTTCACCAGCTCGACGCGTCCGTCCTACATGCGGCGCGCGAAGAAGACATACGAAGCCCAGCACCACCACCGTCACCACCACAACGCCGCCTCCAACGCCGCCACGACCGAAGAGGCCGAGGCCGATGCCGAAAGCGACGGCGAATCCACGAGCTCCGCCTCATCCTCATCCAGCGGCGAGAGTAACGGCTTCTTCGCCCACAACGACACCCACCTCAGCACCAAAGCAGTCTTCAACCGCGACACCATCCTCCTCCTCGCCACCTTCCTAATCTTCCAACTCGCCAACATCTCCTACAACAGCCTGTACCCGATCTTCGCGCAAGCCGCCCCACCCACCGGTCGCGCGCTTTCCCCCGAGGAGATCGGGCTCTCGCTCGGCTTCGCGGGGCTCGTGACTATCGTCTTCCAGGTCGGCGTGTTTGGCAGACTGAGGGAGAGGGTGGGCAATAAGGTGGCGTATCGGGCGGGACTGGCGGGGTTCGTGGTCGCGTTTTTGCTGATGCCGTTTGTGGGGTATAAGGACGGGGGTAATGGGTTGACCGGGGATGGGAGTGGAGCGCAGACGCAGATGGGCAAGGTGTGGCTTTGGGTCGGGTTGGGGGTTACGTTGATTGTGAAGACGGTCTCGGCGGTCGGCTGTTTGACGTCCGCGTTGTTGTTGGTATGTTTTCCTTTCCTTTTCTGGTTCCCCTTTTCTTTTCTGACTGAGATCCTTCTGAAACTAACACCGCCACAGATCACCAACAGCGCCCCCAACCACGCCGTGTTAGGGACCCTCAACGGGCTTGCCCAAACCCTCTCCGCAGCCGGCCGCGCCGTCGGCCCCTTCATCTCCGGCTCGCTCTTCAGCGCTGCAACGCGCATACATCCGAAGGGCGAGGCCCTCCCTTTCGGCATCTTTGGCGGTATCGCCGCGTTGGGCTTTTTGCTTAGTTTTGGAATTCGCGGCGAGGGCTTGGAGGCGGAGGGGTGGGGGGAGAGTAGTGGGGAGGAGAGTGAGGAGGAGGAGGATGAGGTATAGGAGGTGGGGATGGAAGAGGGTTGTGGATATTCTGGGATGTAAATGGCATGGCATGGCATAGCTGCTTCTTATTCAGCTCTTAGCGATGGCGTTTTGGGAATTTTTTCAAAGCAGGGAGTGACGGTAGACGTTCTTGGATTCCAGCCTCAGGGCAAACACGGAGGGGAGAGAAAGTACCGAGGTATTCCTTTACGATTGTATACGATATGTATGTACAACGCTTTGCACCCTTGTTAGGGAAAGAGGCAACAGAAAATCTGGGGCAAAGAGCGCGATCCCACTATGAGCATCGAGTGGAAGGTGCGAGTACGCAAACATAGAGGCAGTGGCCGTTCGACCATCAGTCCCGCCCCGATCCGTATCTAAACGTCCATAGCGATGCGGCAATCACAGTCCGCTCTAAAAGCCGAATGAGGATCAGTATATAATAAACCCATGATCACTCGTACGACGTCTCTGTTCACTATTCCGCCTACACACTCTACAAAACTCAACAGCATCAGGCAACATAGCCATCAAGTCAAAACTCCTCAAACCTTCCTCTACGAGCAATATGTCAACGGCCACCTAACTTACTTACCTTACACAGTACCAAAAAGCATTCAGCATGCCACATCCAGTCCGTGTAAGTCCAGCTCGACAAAAAAAATGCAAAAGAAAAAAAATGCAAAAGAAGAAGCTCTTCCGGGTGGGCTCGAACCACCAACCTCTCGATAGACTGCGACCTTCAGAAGAAGGTATAACAGTCGAACGCGCTAGCCAATTGCGCCACGGAAGATGCTATTGGATGAGAAGACAGCCAGCTTAGATCAATATTATACTTTCAAATTAGCTGTGCGTCGGCGTCGGGAATATAAAGCGTAAGCGAGTAGTGCGGCGTCGAAGGTTGGAACTTTGATGTGGATCTTGGCATCTTGCTCTGCCTAAGGTAACTTACAGTATCTCCTTAGGAAGGGTCGTCGTCGAAGCAAGTTAGCGCTATGCTTCTTGAACGCGAAAGCTTGGTGTAGGTGGCGGGTACTCGCATGCGTAAGGTACCTGTGCAAATTGTGTTGGGCCAGGTGTTACGTGGCTACTAGCATTCGGGTCATTACTAGGAGATCAACATCGTACGAGCGCGCATCATAAGGGAACATGTAACTTATGGCAATCGCTACTGATCGACTTGCATGTGCGTAGGTACGCTCAGTCACTTTCGGAGGTACAGTAAGTAATAAGGCAGGAGTGCGCGCCTCAGTCATCGACAACTACATCGCCTCAGACACCTACGCAAAAGCTCTCTTGATCGAGGAAGAGAAAAGATACAGACACACTAGTCATAGACTGTTAACATCTCGAACCCAACAACAAAGCTCCACCTTTCCCTTTTCCCCATCGCCTCTAGTCCATGAAGGTCCATGAAGGTCCATGAAGGTCCCAATCAAGCCCTTCCATACTTCACCCTTCCAGGCAGAAAACGTGCCAAAGCAATGAACACCGCTCCACATCCTTAGATACCATGTCCACGCCAAACGCCGTATAAGGTCACCCCGCGCTCCGTCGCAACACTTCACTAAGGCCGACAAATCTGCTTGCCTGCTGCATCCAGTGGCGGAAGACCGTTGTCGCAACGCTGTTATCGTGGCCTCTGGCGATGCGCATTCGAATGTGGGTGATACGTTCGTGCGCAGGAGGGGCGAGTGGAGAATGCTCGCGATAGAGAAGCACGCCTCGCGTCGGCAGAACGGTTCTCGTAATTCGCAAGCGCACCTCCTGTTGAACGAGTCGCTCAAAGCATAGCCACGAACAAACCCCACTACTTTTTGCCTGCCCCAAATAATCGACACGCAAAGACCCCATGCTCCAGCCAAGAAACCAGCAAAGTAAAGCGGCGCATCACCTCGTCTCCGAATAATCGTTCAACGCCACACAAACCGCGCCACGATGATGTCCATTATACTGGCGAATAACCTGCTTACTCTGCAGCTCCCACAAGCGGGCATAATGATCACTGCAAGCCGTAACCAGATACGCCGAATCCGCGCTAAACGCGCAGTCCCACACCCAGCGCTGGTGGCCATCGAGTTCCTGCTCGAGCTCGAACGCCGTGCTCTCCTGCTTGCCGCTGCCGGTCGGATCGGGGGTATGCTTGCTGAGGTCCACGCTCCAGATGCGCGCCGTGTGGTCGGCGGAGCAAGTCGCGAGGTGGCGGACGTCGGGCGACAGCAGCACGCGCGTGATGTAGGTGCCGTGGGCGCGGAACTTGGTCACGGGGACGAGCGTCGTGACGTCTTTAGCCGTGATCATGCGCCAGACGTAGACAGCGCCGTGGACGGAGGAGGAGACGGCCGCGCAGAGCAGGGAGCCGTCGCTGGCGACCGTGACGGAGGCGACGGCCTTGTCCTCCTCGGGAATCAGCTGGTGGCTGCATTTGTTCTCGCCCAGGTCCCAGATGCGCACGTTGCCGCCGCGGTCGCAGGAGATGAGCTCGCCTTGGTTAGGGTGGATGACGACGTCGTTGACGGGGACCCCGTGGCTGTAGTTGCGCTGGATGTTTCCGGACCGCGTGTCCCAGATCTTGACCGTGCCGTCTTCGGAGGAGGTGACCATCCATTTGCCTTCGCAGTGGAAGGCGACGCCCGTGATGTTGGCCGTGTGGCCTTCGAATTGTAGTACTGGTTGCGGATTGGTCGATTTGATGTCGAAGAGCTTGACTGTGTGGTGGCCGGCGGCGGCAAGGAAGCGCTTGTCGGGTGAGATGCAGAGACGGTTTACTTGAGAGTCTGGGTGTGGGATTGTGCGGGAACAGATGCCTGAAAGCGCTTCCCAGAACCTGCAGATGTACGTGTTAGCATGTATATAAAGTTTAAATGCGTACAAGACGGATCCAGCGGGTGAAACAGCAGGTGAAAGTCATGGAACTTTCATAGTCTTAGGTCAGCAGTGTAGAGCGATATCCGAGTTCACGAATCTCCGGGTGAGTAACGCAAAGGATATAGACCGCCTCCGATTTGATGGGGTTTTAATGCCAGCGCTTGAGCGCGAACCATGCGCCTTCCGTTCAAGGGTTTGGCGCGTATTAAGTTGCGGTGCGCATGAAAGATCGCAAAGCAGAGTGTCGAAATTGATAAGCGGAATGCCTTGCCAAGGTATCTGCCCAGGAAGACGGTCTGGCATCAGGAAAAGTCGCCTTGGGTGAATGCGCCATAGCTCTTTCGGGGATTGTGGCATTTCAATTTGATGGATATTCATACGGAAGACTTTTCACCCAGAACCCTCAACGAGTTGGATGCAAACCATATTGTAGCACAGTATATAGGCCTTACCTTATAGTATGATCATAACCAGCTGTCAAAAGTCCCGCGTCAGCCCAGTCCTCCCATCCTTCGGGGAACGCGTCAACACTCACCAGTACACAATATGACGCTCATCTTGTACGGGTGGAGACAAGCTATTGCCTGCTATGACGGCGATGTTGGAACCGAGGAGATGGTGGCGCCCACCGCCTGCACCGTGATGGAAAGGGTGGTGTATCGACCGGACTTTGATCAGAGGATGCTGGGAGGGAGATGTGCCCGTCGGGCGCCCTCGAACAGAGTCTGTCGCCTTCCCGGTAGGCCCGGATGTCGAAACAAAGGGTTTTTAAGGCTGACGATTCGGAGTTCGCTAGTCGTTCAATTTGATGTTGTCGGTACTGTATAAGGCTGGAAGCCCCGCCCCCAGGGTCTGTATGCAGTTGAAACGGCGCTAGCCAAGACTGCCAATTTCGACCTCACCTCTGATTGCGACTGCTGAGTAATGCCGTCAAAGGCAGGGTGATATCCTGAAAAAGCCGCTGCGATGACCCGACCGACGGTGGAGGCTGTACTGATAGTCGTGACGACGAAGTGCCGTTGCAAAAGCGACAATAACAAGCGGCCACGTAACTCGGCACGCGCTGTATACTGCCGTCCAAAGAGGTGAGAAAAAGACCTTTTCATTCCCTTCTCTGCTTCAAGGAACGATGTCAAAGTGTGATGGGAGAAAGAGAAAAGTACAAGAGGAAAGAGCAGAACGTACAGAGCCCAGACCTCCGTACGTAGATGATGCCAAGACCGTGGACCCTATGCTCTTGATTTGCAATATGCGACTACGCAGCGCGCATGAAGGACTCAATGCCGGGTCTTGAAGATGAAGTTGAAGGGAAAACGTCGAAGGAGGATGAGGATGAGAGGAAGTTGACGACCGACGTTGGGCTAAGCAAATGCGGTATTGCTGGCCGCCGGTCCTGACTCCGCGCTACGACACGATACCATACTCTATTGTCGCGACTTCCCGGAGCGGATTACCCAATCCAGAGGCCGACGCAGGTCGAATTGCCAAGCCTGAGATCCAATTACAGCGAACGGCAATTCACGTGGCGAGGTTATGCTTGTCTTGGACGTGCAAGGACACGGTACACGGTCATCCAGATGGTTGTATGCGAAGATGAGATTGCTCCAATCTACAGGCACAGCTCATTCTTCATTGGCTTGCCTATGCGCTCTACGCAATGGAGCCGAATTGCATGTCTCTTTCGGAGGTACCTGGGCTTCTGCCCATGTCCATGTCGCGTAGCCTGTGTATGAATACCGTCCATCTCAGTGCTTATCATCCTGCTACGCCATGGAAGCACAAAAGAGAAATCTGTGCTACCCAACGTCTTCCTGCCAGTGCGTGTTCCACATACACCTCCGAAGCAATGGTGGAGCGGCGCTACTAAACGTCCAAGGGAGCAGGTGCTGCTGGATGCAATCGCTGTGCCGACAAGATCCTGTTGCGCGAGCAGCGCACTGTCGCGCACTTCCGACAAGAGATGATCAATGGGGTTCCTATTGCATCGTGCCAACGGCCATGCTGAGGCCGGTTCTCAGCCACAAGCTGCCCGTCGCGGCAACCAGATGACATTGTCAATGCTGCCCCCTACCATTGATCATGGCATCCTATCCATGTTATCACCTCAGTGCAAGGAAGATAGCATTTACTGAAGGAAGCTGCGTCACCATTGGGGAGAGGTCGCCGCGAGCAAAGGCGGGCACTGTCTCTGCGGTTGGTGGCCAGCCACATGGCCCAGGTATCACCGGCCTCGGAGAACAGTCGTCGCCACGTCATCTCTGCGGTGTCCGAAGGATTCAATTGTCTCAATCATTGGGTGCCAGCAAAATGTATGGAGCGTTTTGCGATGTCTCGTACAGGGATGGAGCACACGTCTGAGTGCGAACAGTCAATGGCACCCAAAGTCCGTCAATCAATTGATGTGCGTCGACGCCCGGCGAGAGCGTCCGGGGCCCTCGTCGCTGCCGCTTAGTAACCCCTAACCCATCACGCCTCCACGTCGATCATTCAGGGTCGTGCCTTCCTAGTGCTCATTCCAATCGGTCGGCAATTCTTGCCCTGCTGCATACCTCCCGATTTGCTTTCAAGGACACGATGCACCTGCGCCGCATCTGGTCGTTGAGTCCAAGCGCCATCACGCTTGACGGTGACTCCTACCTCAAGGTTCTCAATCGAAAGCCTTACCAGGCACGCCTGCAGCTGTCACTGTGCGGGTGTCGTCATTCTCTTGCATGACTAGCCCTACGTGGGTGGTATGCTCGAGTCCGCCGTCGCATCCAAGAATAGCACTGGGCTTCAAGGTTCAATGCTACCGTCTCTCCCATTGGTCGTCGTGCGGGTAGCGTCGTTGCTGCGATGAGCGTGTAGCCTCCCGCCAACCGACATTGCTCCAAGGGACCTAGCGTGGCTGCGAATAGCAGATTGAGTTGATGCAGATGGCTGGGA